TATGGTACGTTGCATTTACCCCCTGGAAAATTTCAAACACAATACAGTATCAGTGAACAGAAATCACCGCTGTTTACTTCCTTGGAGAAAATACAAGCAAATAACATGTTCAATTTATTTATCTTGGCCTTTTAAAATGTTAAGAATACTCGAATTCATTACAAATTGAAAAATATTCTGTAAGTGTCTATTTATTGGAATTTAGATCTAAGGGCAGATCACTCTAACTGCAGAAAAACACCATAGAATCAGAACTCTTTAGTGTGCAGTGTAGAGAGGGTTCTGAAGAGTAGAATCTATTTTTCCACATTTAGAAGTAGACTACAAATGCGTATATCATATTTAAAAATTTTCTTTCAAAATAGACTTAGTGTAACATTGCATTAGAAGGGTAATTGTTTCCTCTGCCCAATTTATCAAATATTCGGCAACCAAGAACAATAGCCAATAGTAATCAACACAACCTTTAGTAAATCTCAGCATCGACATCATTTTCTATAGTTTTTATCAGCAGATTTTAAAATGAATAATAAAACAACAGCAATTGTCAATATTTTAAGCAACAACTAGAAATGTCAGTAACCAAGATAAAAATATATATAGCAGTAAATGTTAGCCATTCTCTACAACAACATCAAATATGAGTAAACAAACAGCGAAATTCGTAGTTAATCCGACTTGGATACTTCAGTATTAGTGGATATATGCTTGCTTGCTTCGGTATATAAAGATAATTCAGGGGAAACAGCACGTTTTTTTTTTTTTAATTTATGTACCCCTTTTTCTTCTGAAGTATTTACTTAACGTTGTTATAATTTTCAAATAAAAACACTTCAACCAATAAGATGGACTTTCCCTTTGATTATCCAATGAATGTAATCATACCGCCAAAATAAATAATGTAATTCCCAGTGTTTCTGAAGCAAACGAAAGAGCTTGGAAAGAGTTTTTTGTATTATTTGCGCGCGTAATGTTCCACTTTGGTTGTGTGGTTTGAACGTTGGGACCCATGAAAGATTAATCGCTGAATGAATAAGGCAGCAGAGAATTAATTTCACCGAGTTTCCGGCGACAAGAACAAGTTGATTTATCTGCCGTTTTAAAATGAAGCATGGTGGAGATGTATTATTGGATAAAGGGTGTATATTTTTAGATTGAATTAAAACTTCAAATGCCTGTGCATTTGTGTTGTTATGTTTTGTGAGGTAAAGTTCAAGAGCCGCCCATAAAGGTCTGGTTAATATGATATGAAATTGCTAAAATGCCAACCAGGTAAACGGTTGCAATCATTTTTGAAGCTTTTCTTTCTATGCATTGCTTCCGTTGAAAAAAGTTCTTGTGTTTGACCATTCAAGCATTGCTCCCTGACACATTCAAAAACAGGTAAAATTCTAAATCCTTCCTTGTTTGGTTCTAATTCACATCTCATCAACGATTTAAATCATAATAGGTTTACCGTTGGTTTTGAGAAGTATTTAGATAGGACAATTCTATTATTGACAAAAAAAAAAGATTTATCATCCTTTAAAGGTGCTTGGACACAGATTTGAAGTTAATATTTTCTCAAATTTTCTGTATAATTTCATGACTTATATGTTGCTTTAGCATTTCATACTAAAATATAATAAAAATCTTATTTCATCTCGTAGTTATTGAAACTTTAAATTTCTGACCGCGTTGGATTGACACATTCTTGCACTTTCACAAATTTTAATTTTATTCTTAATACTTAAGAAAAGTGGCAATTTTTGTTGTGTATTAATGAAAAATATTAAAACTATTATCCAGAAAATTCAGAGTAGAAATGTTCGAAAGCAAAACCCACTCACGGTATTGTCAGTCCGTGCTCAGTGGTTTGTGCAGACTTTAACAATTGAACACACCCGGTGAATCGTAAACATTAACAATAACAGAGCTCGTTCCCTGTTTACAAAAACAGTTTACGTTTCACGGGTGTATTCAATTTGTTAAACTCTGTACACAACACTGAGCACGGGCTGACGATATTAGTGAGGGGGTTTGCTTTCGCACATTTCTACTCTGAATTTTCTGGGTTATAGATGTAATGTTTTTTATTAAAACATAACAAAATTGCTTCTTTTCTCAAATGTTAAGGATAAAGATAAAATTTGTGAAAGTGCAAGGATGTGTTAATCAAACGCGTCCAGGAATTCGTAGTTCCAATAATTTCCAGATAAAATAAGTTTTTAATTATATTTTCGTGTGAAATGCTATTGCAATATATAAGTCGTGATATTATACAGAAAATTTGAGAAAATATTAACTTCAAATCTGTGTCTAAGCACCCTTAAGGTGAATTGTTGAATTAGACCAATTAATGATCTGATAGTCTCCACATTCTATCAAATATTTGTTCTTTGGCATAATAATACATGTATATGTTTTACAAATGATCGATTCTGTATATTTTAACATTAACAAAGCATATATTTGATTCTTCATAAAGTTTATGTCGTCCGATGTAGTACGAAATTTCCAACTAGGCGCAAAAGCCGTATTTACATGATGAGTTTTTCACCTCCTTTCCACCATAAAACTAGCTGAAATCTCTCTTAACGTAACGTAGTGTGTGATTGCTTATATAACCTCCTTCTTTCATCACATGGCTCATATTATCAAATGAAATGAAGATGTACAATCTTTTAGTCTATCAACAACTTGAAAAGGAACAGCGCGCTAGATCGCTCGGTCATCAAACAAAAAATTTTAAAGAAATCTTTAACATTGATGAAACTAGCAGCACCGTCCTAAACTACACGGTCATTGGGAATGCAGTATTTTAGACATTAGTTTTATTAGAGGATCGTTACCGGTACATATTGCGTAAAATCATTAATATATCAAGCACATTTAATTTACAATGACTAGAACTAACATAGCTGCCTAAGTGAAGAATATTAATGTGGAAAGAAAGCACAATGAAATTCATTTTGCAAGGATACTCATTCACCCCAATCAGGGGTTGATGCATAGGAAACCTGTCTCCTAGGAGTGAAGGAACAGCACGCGAGACCGCTCAGCCATCTAGTAGGCAAGTTAAAAAATCGCTGTCGATGACGATGAAACTCTCGCGGCGCCGCCCAACACTATTTTTATATAAAAATTGTTTTTGAAAACTCGAATATCTGAAAATCAGAATTTGAATTACATAATAAAAGAATCCTTCATAAACTTTCAAACATAAAGATAGCAGCACGTTTCAAAATGCAAAAAGGCATAAATCTTTTGATACAATATATTATATAATATGTTAAAATGGGAAACATTTACACCATTTGAAGGTGATAGTTGAATATATCTACATAAATAAAGAAAAGTGCCGATTTCGTACTCCTTATCGTCTACAGTCTGTAAAATAAATTGATTATGGTCGATAAAGAAAATAAATACACCTGCATATAATGCTGTGTTTATGTCTCCCAACTAAACTTCAATTTGACTATGGATTACTTCGTCCAACATAAAATAAATACAAGGGGCTCACAGCGGGTGTGACCGGTTGACAGGGGATGCTTACACCTCCTAGGTACCTGATCCCACCTCTGGAATTTCCAGTGGTTCTTGTTGAAGTGCTGCTCATAGTTTTGTATTTTGTAGGTTTTTTGAGATCGATCCCTATTCGTTATTTTCACCTACTTCATTGACGATGGCAAAGAAATCATCTCGTGTGGCATACTGTTAAGGACATACGCAACATAGCTTGAATTTTATTGTCTTTTTTCCGGGAGTTGAAGAGTTCCAATACTTAAAGGAACTACGTGCTACATTTAAATGTCTATATATGCTATGGTACACTTCTTCTATAACACATTTGGATAAACAAAACATCTAGAATATATGTTTAGTAGTTTTTGTATACTTTTCTTTGAATTTAACAAGAATTTTTATCAATTTGACGGCCACCATTTATTTTCTGGCGGCCGCCAGATATTTATTTGGCGGCCACCAGTTAACCTTCGGGCGGCCGCCAGATCTATTTATCTTGCGGCCGCCAAATATTTATCTGGCGGCCGCTAGAAATTATCTGGTGGCCGCCAAATAATTATCTGGCGGCTGCCAGATATTTTTATCTGGAGGCTGCCCGAAAATTATTTGGCGGCCGCCAGTTATTTTTGTGGCGGCCGCCAGATAAAAAAAATTTCTTCCTGGCACCAACCGGCTTCCGTAGCTAATTGCCGTTGGACTGACCCATTTAAATTACATCAATAAATATTTTACGAAATCCTGTTCTCCAAGGTTCTTGACTTTTGTGTTTAATCTATTTTTTCCCAATTAACATTTACTATAACAGGGTGTCCTCTAAAAGGGATATTAGTGTTATACCTTTAACAAAAGCTGGATTCGTTGATGTCAGTATATGCATATTATCCATACAGTTTTAAATCCTATAGTTAGAGAGACATTAAAACGTTACAAGATCTCGTATAAGGTTTTCGGCATTAATGGAATAATTTAGAACTGAGACCTAAATGCTCTTGTTTAACGCAAAGGGAGGGAACTACGAGACGTGCCGTCCTGGTTATACAGACGGTGTATTTAAAGAAGTTATTTCAATGACAGTAGACTCTGGATTCCTTGGATAGAGGAGATAAATAAAAAAAAATACTCTGAAGAGTTATTGACCTTTTATCACTCTCTACATGTCGATTGGTATTTTTTTAATAGTTTTGAAAAATAAAATTACTGTGTATTCGACATGCCGTTCATTCAATAGGTTTTGAGTACGATATCTTAGAATTAGGAGCGAGAACGGGCAAACTTGCAGAATGTTTGCTTAAACACTGTCCTCAGGTATATTTTCAAAATAAAAAAATTGAACAGAATAACTAGAAGTAATGAAACTTCTTAGTAAACTTCTTAATAATTTTTTTTTCTTCAAATTTTAGATTATTTCGAATAAAACTAAAGTACTTACAGAAATATCATACATCAGAGTAATGAATGCAGCATAACTTTTTTTTTCATTTCAGGAAATAAAAGCACTAGTAACAGAACCATCCAATGATTTTATCAAAACCTTGGAAGAAAAAATCCCTGGTGTAAATACAGGGCAGTGCAGTGCCAACAAAATACCACTTCCTGACAATTCTGTTAAAGTAAGAAATCACATTCTGAAAGTATAATCAATGAATAATTATTTTTCTGCATAATAATGATCTGACTGTTAAATTGGCAGTTTTAATCTGAACAGCAAAACAGAACTAGAACTATTATTCTAAAATTCTCTTCTTTATTTGTTTGTTTGTCTGTTGTTTAACGTCCCTCTCGAGAATTTTTCACTCATATGCAGATGCCACCACTTGCCGGTGGAGAGCTGCAAATTTTGTCCTATACTCGGCACTTACGGCCATTGAGCAGTGAGGGATCTTTTTCGTGCCAGCACCTACTGCGACACTGGGCCTCGGTTTATACGGTCTCATCCGAAGGACCGGTCTCCACGTCCCACAGTGGGATTCGAACCCGCGACGTAAGGATCAACTCCTTACTTCGCGACTCTAGAACAGACGCTCTAACCACTGCGCCACGCGGGCGACTTCTCTTGTTTAGAAATAATCTTTAAATGAAAAATTGCAGCAATGATATTCCATCTTAGAACACTTAGTGTAATAGATTTACAGTTAAGAATTACATTTTTATTGAAAATAGACCCTAATGACCTTTTCTTTTCAAAAGGTTATTAGAGTTTTATTTTCCCATCTTAAGGCCATAATTGCAGCCCAGTGCTTTCACTGGTTTGCAAACGAAGAGAACATTTCCGAAATTGACCGAGTATTGAAACCAGGAGAAATTTTCAGTAAGATCTATAATCGTCATTAATTATACTATATGCTTTGCCAAAAATGTATTTTGAATTAAATAAAGAAATCTATGGGATTTTTAAATTCCAGTTCTAGTTTGGAACGTTTTAGATGACAGCTTAGTTTTAGATGCGGATTTCCAAAAATTCTTTTTAAAATGGATAAAGGACTCAACCCAGTATTATGACATGAGATGGAAAAAAAATTCTTGACAATTGTGACCAGGTCCGGTAGGTTTCAAGAAAAGTGTTTGATGGCAACAATTTAAGCGTAAGTCTTCAGCAATACATGCATTTTAGATTATATTTTGATCATTATTTTAATCAAACGACTGAATTTCATAAACAACAGGAAAAGCCTATAAAATCTCTTTCCATCCTAATATAGTATGTACAGTACATTAAAATATTTGAAATTTAAGTACGTTCATCATTTATCATGTACATGTAATTGCATAACACGTTTTTTTTTCCCATTCTACATTTCTAGGGTTCCATTGATCATTTAGTGCGTTTAAGGACTACTTTCAGTTGTATACAAAGCCTTGAGGATGTTCAAAAAGAGAAAGCATGCAGTGAAATACGAGGTTTCTATGAAAACCACCCTGAGGGAAATGGGAAGGAATTCCTCACTCATCCCATGAAAACAGACGTTTTTCATTAATGAACCTTGTAAACATACTTTGAAATTTTAATATTTTACACATGCACTATCAAAGCATTTAGTCATCTCGATCAAATAACTTTCACTCGTCTCACCTTCTCATCGTGGACAGGAGTATGTATGTTTGCACTGAATAATATACTTTGCAATGTAGAATAAAAAGCATCTGATACTAGTTTTATTTCTTTAACAATAGAACTCAAATTACCCAGTCTATGAAGAAGTATGGCTACAAGTCAAGACCATGTACATTGTAAGACATGAGAGTTAAAAATTGGTAGTGGTTGTTTCTTCTTCTTCTTCCAAAAAATGCAATTAAACATTAACGTTTTAAATGAATGCAAATCATAAAAGAATCAATTTTGATGCACCAAATGCGCATTTCGACAAGTTATGTCTCTTAAGCGATGCTCATGCCGAAACGTTGGAAATCCGGAATATTTAAAGAAAATAAAACTTTGAAGAGCTGAACAAAGGGGTGCCAAAGACAAAGATCTTTATATATATAGTCCTGTGTAGTAGTAGGCATGAGAAAAATCTTAATGTAGTAGCTACATGTATATCTATAGAATGAATATGATATTTACTTCCTTAACGTCATCATAATACTTAATCTTCATATCTAATATAATGGTAGTTGTTTTTCAGAACTTTTAAAAAAATAACTTTAATAACGTTTGAAAAATTGATGACATGGCAACGGTTTACAATTAATGAATTCCCTGGGTTCTTTACTGTTTACGTTCGAAGATAGTTTTCTATTCTATTCCCACCCAAATTAAAAAGCAAGCAAACACACAAGCAAAAACCATACTTATATCAACAATATGTACGGGCAGTATAATGTACATGTAATAATTATTTGTTTGCAAATTGAAAGCTCTTAAAAGACTTTATTGCTCTTTTGAATCGTAGCGAACTATGCTATGACAGGTACGACACAGATGGAGGCAATAAGAAACAAATCAATTTATATATGAAAATACATGTACCAGCCTTTATATTTATTAACCCTCAGGTTATGAAAAACTCTCCATTTAAAACCTAACATTAGAACAAAAGAATATCACTACCACCTCCTTACTTTGCACAGATTTTTTGCTAATACACTTTTGTTCTTTTTTACTCAGGTCTGTAATTTTAGTGTTTCCGTGACATTAAGCTTCATTTCCTTGTTAATAAGAACTGAAAACGTGTAGATGCTTTGTATAAGGAATTATTTCATTTGTATGTCTATTTAAATATAATTTAATTTTGTTTGTATTCTAGCCTCTGATTGGTTAATAACCAAAAAGGAACACAAATTATTTCTGTATAACCTGGTTTGGTATGGGGACACACCCCCCTGACAACCAGCTGAATCGTCTGTATCCATGCAATCCTCTCATTTCCAGTCCTCGGGATTCATGGAAAATTCCAGATTTAATAAATGTACCTTTAACTTCAAACAATAACTTGGATCTTACCACATGTAAACAAACAACATGGCTGCTAGGACTATGTATCAGTTTTTACCTCCCCTCGCTTCCCATCACTTCCGTTACTAGGGTTGTATTATTGAGCGGCAAATTTGAACTAATAAAAAGCAACGAAAGTTTACACCCACAATTGTTTAATGATTTTAGAATTAAATTATAAGGAATGACTCTAATTCTTGGCCAAATTATTCGAGTATAACCTGGTTTGGGTCAGTTTACGCTGTTTTATAATCCGCTTCGCGGATTATAAAGCGTAAACTGACCCAAACCAGGTTATTCTCGAATAATTTGGCCAAGAATTAGAGTCATTCCTAAATGAATAAGTACATGTAATTTCCATTGCTTTCACAACACTATATATTTATTGTAAAGGTTATACATATTACTAAATGTAGAGAAAATAATGTGGGTGTTCTGATTTACTTTGTGTGTATAAAATATATAACTGTTTATTGCGAACATGAAAGACAATGTGCTAAACTCAATGTGTGAAGGGCCGGTGTAACGACGAAAAATGGCCCCTGGAGAATATTGACCGGGGGTCAAATTTCTCCGTAGAAAAATGACCCCCAGTCAAATTCTACGGTAAGTAGGGCATTTCGACCGCAGAAATCCCTTCCTGGCCGGTTATCTACGACTTCACACACGTTGAAAGATGACCCCCCATAAAAATATGAACCCTACTTTTTCACTACATTTTATAATTAAACCTTTTAGAAATGAGATGTTATATGCGTTAATCCGGGGTTGGGGAGGGTCTGTGATGGTCTAGTATCTCCTGATTTTATTTTCTTTCAAATGTGTGTTGGAGAAGGAACAAAGTATCTTCCCTTCGTAACGCCACTTCTCAATATTAGCATCATATACAATGTACGTGGTATATTTTTATTTATTTATTTTTTTATTTTTTTATTTTATTTTTTTTTTTTGCTTGCATCTCAATGAGTATACATTATTGAGAAGCATAAATTCATAATTCATAATCAGTTTTTGAATACATCAATGCATTGAAACAAAAAAACGTATTGTATTATTATTTTTCTATGAAACGTGAAATATGGGGATGCTATCAATAACTGTAAATACTCTTCATTTTTAATATCATCTAACATCTTTTTCACTCTTTTAGGTTCATTTAGCCCTATTTATTACATGAATATTAAATTCCCTCGTATTTCTTTTGTATTAACATTTCATCCCAAAATTTTACATTTCTGATATCAATTTTAAGAAATTTTCAGTTTTGAAATTTCAAAAAATTTCCAACTAAGTTTCAAATTAAATCAAAGTATCTGAGTATTTACTATAGCTAACTATAGTTTACAATAGTAAATTTTTGTTAGTGGTGCTAGATAGAAATAAAGGCAATATACTCCCTTTCCTTGATCATTATAGATACATGTATAATCTACATTTCATGCACATATGCATTATGTAACTACTTATAAGTAGGGTTTTTGATGTAAGAAAAAACGATTTTTGTTTACTTTTATCTTAAAAACTCTTATATTTTAAAACCTTGTATCACACAGCAAGAACGACTAATTTGTGTAATGGAAAGACAGCCAATTTTTTTTTCTATAGGCTAGCAAATTTAAAGAGTCGGTTGAATCCTCGTTACCTACTCCCTCGTTACCACTATAGATACGCTGACACGAATCACGTACTTGATTCTAACACAATGTGTTACAATATTTTTTGCGCAGTTCTATGTCTTTTGCAAACGCAACATCAATTGTGCTTATATTGCCAATCATACTTAGAAAAAAATAACTGAATTTAGCTGAGAAGCTTTTTCATAATGCAACATTCGCGATCGGTTTTAACTATTGGTAAAAATTATTACATGTAACTAGGAAGAGGAAAGACCTATTACTGTGTATAGACGTGTCAATTCTTGGTATATCAAACACCTCTTTTATTGATTAATCATTTTTTTGTGTAAAAAGCCTAATTTTATTTAGGCTTTGTTGACACTATCAAACGACAAAAGACATTGGTAAAGATTTTGAGCTAACCATTTTTTGTGTCCCTGAGATCGAATATCAGAGGAATATTGATTTAATCCTGTCTGATATTTTTTCACAAATTTAATCTTCCTTATATTTTTTATGAGAAGTTTTATACAAGAAATTGAAAGATATAATTGAGATCCTATTTTCTTAACAATTGTTCATTTTTTTCAAGCAAATTTATTTGGTTAGGATTCAGAAACATTAATCTTTGAATTCTTGTAACTTCTGAAGAAAAAAAAAACCGCTTGAGACTTTATTTTCATTTTTTTACATTATATACACAGAGCAAATTTAAAGAGGATCATTACAATTATACATAGAAACCTTACATTCCTAACAAATGCAAAATACAAATATTTATTGGCACAAACACAATTACAATAATTGGCAAAGGTCCTCTGAACATCATTAGAAAATTTATGTAGTATTAAGTAATTGACTTCTGTGTTCAAAACAGTTTCTAATAAATTTAACAGGAACTTTTAAGATTTCATCTATAATTTTCTCTTTCTTACACCAGCTAAGTAAATAATCTTGTTTTTTAGAAGGCGACTGTGAAAAATTGTTGCATAAAATGTGATAAAACAAATCTAAGAACAAACGTTTTCTTGCTATTATAGCCATTGGATTTCATAATAGCCTAGTAATTTGTTTTCCTTTAATGGGGATTAAATTATCTTGTATTATTGATATAAGGTATAATATAACCTTTTTTATTTCAACTTTAAAGCTTTTAGGCCGCGTGATTTTACCCCTATGTATTTGCCTAACAAGAATATTCCTACCAAAACCAGTTTCTTTGTATAAAAAAAAAAAGACACATGAAAATATGAAAATGCATAAATTCTTTAAAAACCTTTTTCTCTCTGTTTATTTTACAGACAAATTAAGTATATAGTTATAATGAATAAGGATGCCGTGGTCAGGAGTTCTGGTGTAAGGGCGGCGCTATATTAGCCATACAAGTAAATTCTTTGAAAGTCTTCATCTCTGTTACGTTTTACGTGTTTTTTAATTGACAAACTAATTGCATGGTTAGAATGAGCAAGGTTGCTTGTGAATTCGTGGCCCCTGAGTCAAGCGTTCTGGTGTAAATGGGAGGCTGCATTGATCATGTTGTCCAAATGCATCTATTCTTTGGAAATTTCCTTCTCAGCTCCAGGGCATCTAGCAGCCAAACCAAGTACATAATTTTAATGAGCGATGGTATTTTTAAGCGATTTATAAAATTCATGACCAGAGGGTCATAGATTCTTCTGTTAGGGAAGAGCTCTATTGATCATGCAGGAATTTTTTTACTCTACCTTGAGAAAAATTATTCTCCTTTGAATATTCGCATTTATCTATCACTTTCAATAATAGGTTAAAAAGGTCACTTGAATAAAAGAATTATTCAAGTTTTTTTTTCTTCAAGTTTATAAATTTTAAATTTATAATATATAAAGAACTTTTGAAGTTCGAACTGGATGGAGATGCAGTATTCCGCCAAAATTGGAAAAC